GGGGTCGGCGCGCAGGGCGCGGGCGGGAGAGCCTCGCCGCCCAGGCATCGGTTCGGGCTGGGCCGACTCAAGTCCCCTCTCGGACTCGCCGTCGTGGGGAGTAGAGACCGGGACTGGGACACGCCCCCCTCCCCGGGCACTCAGGGAAGTTATCTAACCCGGGGGCAGGGAGCCCCGTATTTAACCCGACATAACCTGGCGTCAGGATGATTGTTCTGAATGAGACACGCGGGCCCGGGGAGGCAGCCGTTTCTGTTCTGGAAAACATTTCCAGAAAAGCTCCCAAAACACAGATCACCTCAATTATGATACCTCTAAACAGGAGAAGGTGACAGAAACTGAATGGTAACCTTTGCTTCTGCAACCATCATTTCTCCTAAAATCTCAAGGCCAGGATATAGTATCCCAGGGGAGCTCTGGAAGCTGGGAAACTAGAGAACTAGGTTGGGGGTGGTGGGGGGTGTTAGGGAGAGGAGAGCCAGTCACTAGAGTTGGAAAAGCTGGAGTCAAGAAGCTTGGGAGGGGTGCTGTGTGGTTTCCTATCCAGGTGTCTCGGGTTTGGAGACTGGGAGCACAGCTGCTTGAATCCTTGAGGCAAAGAAAAATGGGGAGTTTCTCAACATTCATAACCTCCTCCCATCCCACTTCTGGCTAGGCCCCCCCCAGGATGCAATGGCACAGCCCCCCCGGCTGAGCCGCTCTGGTGCCCCCCCACTTTGGGACCCAGCCTCCCCTGCTCCCACCTCAGGCCCCAGGCCTCGACTTTGGGAGGGTCAAGATGTGCTGGCCAGGTGGACGGATGGGCTGCTATACTTGGGGACCATCAAGAAGGTAAGACATTTGACCTCTGATCTATTGCCTTTTCCCCATTCTCCTTATGTAGTTCTGATTCCTGTTTCATCCCCTGTGCTCATCCATTCCAGGTGGACAGTGCTCGGGAGGTGTGTCTGGTCCAGTTTGAGGATGATTCCCAGTTTCTGGTTCTATGGAAAGACATCAGCCCCGGTGAGACCCTACAGGCCCAAGTGTGTGCATGCCATGGAAAGCAGAAATCTGGCGTGAGGGATGGGAAGGGGGCTTAAGCACAGGCCCCGTAACACTGTGTTCCCTCACAGCTGCCCTCCCCGGGGAGGAACTTCTCTGCTGTGTCTGTCGATCTGAGACTGTGGTCCCTGGGAACCGGCTGGTCAGCTGTGAGAAGTGTCGCCACGGTGAGAGGGCAGGACACCTGAATGGTCCAGCTTGTCCTGAGCCTTCTAGGCTGCCTCTCAAGTCTTCCCTCCACCACTGGTCCTTTTGCCACCTGTCCTGAGTCCCCAAGCCACTGCTCCGGCCAGTCTCAACTCTGTAATCTCACTCCCTTCCAGCACAGGGAGAAACAGCCATGAAATGGGGAGGTGTGAGCTTTGTAGACAGAGGGTGGTTCAAATACACCCTTTTCTAACCGTAAGACCTTGGGCAAATCCCCAAACCCCTAGGAACCTGTTCCCTTACCTGTAAAATAAGGGTAATTCACCCACTACAGCTGGATCATGGTAAAGGATGAAATGAGGTGGCCGAGACTCCTCCTATCCCAGTCGCTAGCACACACAGGTATGCAGTGCAGTAAGTGCCCTACCATCAATATTATCGTTATTCAGCTTATCACCAGGACTGCCACGTTCCAAGGGCCCCAGCCCCTGGAGAAGGAGAGGGCACATCCTGGGTCTGCCGCCAGTGCGTCTTCGCCATTGCCACCAAGGTACTTACTTTCCTGAGGGAGCCTCCCATCCACAGTCTCTCCCGAGCCTTTCCGCCCCCCCACCCCTCTGAGGCAGCCTGCCTGTTCCCTCTCTGCAGAGGGGGGGTGCACTGAAGAAGGGCCCCTATGCCCGGGCCATGCTGGGCATGAAGCTGTCACTGCCATATGGACTAAAGGGGCTAGACTGGGACGCTGGACATCTGAGCAACCGGCAGCAGAGCTACTGTTACTGTGGTGGCCCCGGGGAGTGAGTAACGACGGGGGGGGGGGGGTGTTTGTGGGGGGGTTTGGGAATGGGTGATGGAGTGGGGTGGGAGGAATCCCAGGGAATGGAGGAGAAAGGACAGGACGAGGGGAGTGCTGAAGAGGGCAGAAGTAGGTGGTGAGTAGGGTGTGGGGCCGTTCAGGCGGGGGCAGTGTCTGGAGGTCACGAGTCCTGTGCTGCCCCTCAGGTGGAACCTGAAGATGCTGCAGTGCCGGAGCTGCCTGCAGTGGTTCCATGAGGCCTGCACCCAGTGTCTGAGCAAGCCCCTCCTCTACGGGGACAGGTGAGACCGGAGCCCTCCGGCTCTGCTCCCTCGCTCAGTCCCCCACGATGCCTCAGCTCCGTTCTCTCCCCAGCCTCTGAAGCTTGCCTCCCCTGTGCGCCCTGTCCTTGTTAGTGAGTCCTCCATAGCCTGGTATCGTTTTCTTGTGTAAGGTGTGTTCTCTCCCTCCCTCCCTCTTGCCCACTTCCAGGTTCTATGAGTTCGAATGCTGTGTGTGTCGGGGGGGCCCTGAGAAGGTCAGGAGGCTACAGCTTCGCTGGTGAGCTAGCACGACCTCAGCGTAGGTCCTCTCTCAGCACCCCCAGGATTTCACCCTGTGTGCCCCAACCTCCCACCTAGGGACTGTAGGTTTTTGCAGTGCTGCCACCACCTTGATAACTCAGTATTTCTCCAGGGTGGACGTGGCCCATCTTGTCCTCTATCACCTCAGCGTTTGCTGTAAGAAAAAATACTTTGATTTTGACCGTGAGATCCTCCCCTTCACCTCTGAGAATTGGGACAGTTTGCTCCTCGGGGAGGTAAGGGGTGGTGAAGCTTTGGGGGTGAGGGTGGAACAGAGGAGTATAAAGAATGGGGGAAGGGAGAGGGACCACTGCTCCCCTGATCTCCTTTACTTTCCCCTTCCCCAGCTCTCAGATACTCCCAAGGGAGAACGTTCTTCCAAACTCCTCTCTGCTCTCAACAGCCACAAGGACCGGTGAGTTGGAGGGAGGCTCAGAAAGAGATGTGGATATGGAAGCTTGGGAGGGAAGGGGCTGCAGCCCACCTGGAAGTTCATCTCTGAAAAGGATTGAGTAATGGCATCAGAGGGGCCCTTTATTACTGCACTGACCCTGTATCATTTCTCTCCTCACCCCAGTTTCATTTCAGGAAGGGAGATTAAGAAGAGGAAATGCTTGTTTGGTCTCCATGCTCGGATCCCTCCCCCTGTGGAGCCCCTTACTGGAGATGGAGCCCCCACCAGGTCACTGGTCCAGGGAGGATGGGGAAATTCTCAGGGTATTAATGGGGGAGGCATATGTATGGAGATGGGGAGGTCTTTGGGGTGTCCGGGAGGGGGCTGGGGGGATAAGGAGGCCTCTTACAGCTTCCCTTCAGGGCAGGGCCCTGGGGGAGGGGTCTCACGTCCCCTGGGGAAGCGCCGGAGGCCGGAGCCAGAGCCCCTGAGGAGGAGGCAGAAGGGGAAAATGGAGGAGCTGGGGCCACCCTCAGCAGTGCGCAATCAGCCCGAGCCCCAGGAGCAAAGGGAGCGGGCTCGTCTGCAGAGGGCACTGCAGGTACAGGGGCAGGGGGAACCCCGTGGAGCTAAATGGTGGTGTGGGAAGGAATCAAGGATTATCTCTCAGTCCTTTGCTCCTCTTTCTAGGCCTCAGTGTCTCCACCACCCCCCAGCCCTAACCAGAGTTACCAGGGCAGCAGCGGCTACAACTTCCGGCCCACAGACGCCCGCTGCCTGCCCAGGTCAGTGCTCCTTCACCCTCCAACCAGTTATGTACCCCTAGAATCTCTCCTCCAGTTGTCTACATCCTCTGGACTTTCTTATCCAGAATTATTTTCCATCTCCCCCTTGGCTACCCACTTCTTATCCTAGAGAGACTTCCAGAACCAATGTCTGATCCCTAGTATTCTGGGGATGGGGATTCCTTGGGGCTGTTTGAGCTCTGCTCTTCTCAGTGGGAGAGAGTCCTATTCCCCGGCTTCAGGTCCTGACTTTCCCCCTCCCCAACCCCAGCAGTCCCATCCGGATGTTCGCTTCCTTCCACCCCTCTGCCAGCACCGCAGGGACCTCTGGGGATGGTGAACCCCCAGACAGGTGAGATTTTTTCCCTTTACCTGTGCCACCCCTCTTCATGTCTGTGCCCTTAAGTTCCTCAGTCTGTAACCTGATTTCTTTGTGCCTCTGATCCACATGTGAGCTCCATTTTTAGTCAGTCCTTATCTGCATCTGGATTCACAATTGCCTTCTCTCCCTAGGTCACCCCTGGAACTTCACATTGGTTTCCCCACAGACATCCCTAAAAGTGCCCCCCACTCGATGACTGCCTCATCTTCCTCAGTCCCAGCCCCCTCCCCAGGTCTTCCTAGACGCTCAGCACCCCCTTCTCCCCTGTGCCGTAGTTTGTCTCCTGGGACTGGGGGAGGAGTCCGAGGTGGGGTTGGCTACCTGTCCCGAGGGGACCCTGTCCGGGTCCTTGCTCGGAGAGTACGGCCTGATGGTTCTGTGCAGTACCTGGTTGAGTGGGGAGGTGGGGGCATCTTCTGAACAGCCTGCCTCTGCCTACCTCCCCATTCACACACACCGGCACTTTCATACCCTGACCTCTGACCTCACCTACAGCTGGGATGTACCTGGGGAGGTAGGGGGTAGTTCTCCCTACTGCCCAGGCTGGAATCCAGGTTGGGGGTTGGGGAAGAGGCTCTCTTCTCTACTCCCTTCCTGATTCCTGACCCTTCCCCCATCCCTCTTCCCATTTCCTTTGATGTTATTTTGTTACAGCTTTTTAAATATTTTTTAAAATTATTTAACCCCTGGGGATGGAGACTGAGGAGGGGAGGAATGATAAGGATCCCAGACTCTGTATGATTGAAATAAAGGTAAATAAACAAATCTAGCAGCCCTGGGTCATTCTGGAAGATGAGAACACAGGGACTAGCAGCAATTCCAGTCTTCCCAACCAAATTCACATATATGACAAGGAAAAAGGCAAAAGGCAGAGAAAACCAAAGATAGGATTTATTAGGGGCCCAGTCATCACCTGGAAGTCAAAGGGCGTGGAAGTATACAAGGGGAACATGGCAGAAACAAGGCTCATCACGGTAGGACTGTGCTGGAATCGGAAACTGACTCTGTAACCTGGTGCACCCAATGCAGGTATGGGGCATTCCCCTGCTCCACAGGCAATGCAATCACCTCAGCCACTTCGTAAGGGTGCACAGAACTGTGAAAACATGGGGGATCACTCAAAGATCTACCTTAAAGGGGCCCACCACTCCCTCAGACTGCCCAGCAAGTGCCACCCTCACCGCTACCCACGTCAAAGTTCTCACCGAACAAAATCTGTCAAAGCTGGAACCATGGAACTTCGGGTTTTAATCATCTAAGAGGCAAAGACAAACATGACTGAATCAAGGAGTGGGGTTGATTTCAGGATCTCAGATGAGGGAACGGGGTCAGGGTATTGAGGTTTCATTGGATGGGGAAATGTTTCTCACCATCAGCACCTCATTGTCCTCCTCAATCTTTCCTTTCCACTCATAGCTGAAAAGGTCAGGGAGAAAATGTTGAGGGAGCAAAGATTGCCCTCAAGGAAAAGCACTGCCAATCAGCCCCTAGAGTTAGGCTAACCCCCCAACTCCTATGACTCACATGGATGTAATCTGAGGGATGAGGTTAACGCAGGCTGCCAGGCGCTTCACCACCACAGCCCTGAAGGTGAAGAGAAAGCCCCATTCAGAACGCCCCATGACTCGGATTTTGCACTGGCAGCCCAGAGACAAGGTTCCAAAGCCCGAGGTCGGGCAGGAAGCTGCGGGAGTGCACTCTTCTCTCCCACCCCCAACTCTCTCCCGTCATGATCCTCCTTCCTCGCTCCACACTGAGGTCCCCACCTGGCGATCTCCTTGGCGACCTTCTCGTTGGGGCAGGTGACAAAGGCTGCAGAGACCGAGCCGGGAACATAGCCGGAGCTCGGGGCGGGCGAGGGCTGGGACGGGGGGCTTCCTGAAGCCATGGACAGCAGAGCTCGGGGTAGCAAGAGAAGGCGGGAGGCCACAGGCAACAGCGCCGGCATCCAAAGAAGCGACAGGAGCAGAGCGGCCTGAGAAAACGAAATGAATAGGGTGTCACCCCACAAATAGCCGAGGAAATTGCATCTCGGGAACCCTTCACTTGGATAGACAGGCTCTGCCCTCCCAACTCCTGCACCCCGAAGGAAAAGCTGGGAGAGAAACTTGGGAAATTAAGGCAGACTCGGTTTTCACTCCCTCCTCAGGAGCCAATCCCTAGGATTTTGGGTGCGGGTGGTGGTTGAGGCTTCGAGGACCGGAAGGGGCGGGGCCGGTCACTCACCCCTCCGCCGAGCAGGATTGCGGGAACCCGCTCCCCCCTCATGCAGCCTATGCTGGTAGAGGAGGGTTGAATATCAAAAACCGCACGTAATGCCGAAAAGGGACCCCAAACCCAGGAAGGGCGGCCTCTTCTTACCTGGGCAGCACCCACGTGATAAGAAAACAGCACACACCACGTGACAATAGAAGCCGCACCCGAACCTCCAGAGCCACCCAATCCTGGCCCTCACGTGGCCCAGTTTGCCCCGCCTCCTGTCGGGGGAGGAGCGAAAGGGAATTTGGCCAATCGACAGCCGGATCTGCGGACGTGCACGGAAATGGCACGCTCGTTTCCGTGTAAACCGGAAACGGCCGATTGCAGACTGAGGAGAGCCGCAGCGGCCTTCCGCTGTCACGTGAGGGGGGCGGTCTCCCTCAGGCGGCTGTACCTCAATGAGCTGCGTGAAGAGGCCAATCGCAGGCCAGCCCCGCAGGCCACGTGACGAGAGAGCTCGCGCTAGAAAGGGGGAATGGAGACCCCGCTGACTCGATGCGTCAGGTTGTGGAGTGGGGAATCATCCTTAAACCCCAGAATGTGTCCAGTTACAGCCCCTACACTGTTCCCGAGGCCTTAAGGAGTGGGAGGGTCTGAGAAGATTGAACCTCAGGGGGTAAAGAGAGCGCCCCCTGCCTCTTTGGTTAGGACTGACATATGCCTAGGTTGGGTAATGAACAACGAAAATCGAGAAGCCTGCTGTCCCTGAGCAGGGGATAGTGATTAGGCAGGGATGGGCACGGCAAGACGATGGCTAGGTGGGAAAAGATTCATTTTAAAAAGGACAGAGTGAGACCCTGTAAATGGGATAGAGGATGATGAAAATGGGGCTGAGGACAATTCAGGCTTCTTAATTGAAACCCCAAAGGTCAGGACAGACTGGTGGTGAATGCGGAGGGGGGCGGGGAGCGAGCTTTAGGTTGGGGATATGGAGACACCAGGAAGTAGTGATGGTGCTTTTGTCCCTTACCCCTCCCCCTCCTATTTAACTCTCCAGGACTGGTATACCTCTGAGTCTTGGGTCTCCTTCCCTTAACCCATCCCCCTAGGAGCCAGGACCTGTCCTACATAACTTCCCAGGGGCCCAAGCACATCCAGTGACCCAAAAATGGAGAGAGGGGCCAATGAGAGGAGAGAGAGGTGGGAGGAGGCAGCAGAGAAAAGGCTCTTGCCACTCCCCCTACCCAGTGTTCCCCCTTCTTTCAAGGTTTGGGGGCCTCCAGAGTCTGCGTGACTGGGCGTTTATCAGAGTTCTCTCATACCTGTGTCTCTGGGGATGGGGTCTCCCTGAGATCTGTCTTTGGGTTTGGAGTTCATTTCTGAGCTAGATCTCTGTAGGGCCTTTCAGTATTTGCAGTGGGATATTTCTCGGGACCGGAGTTTCCATTTTGTTTTGGGAGTTTCTGTGTTTCCAGGACCTCATCACTCTGTGAGGTCTTTCAAACTCTTCTTTATGAGTTTGGGGTCTCTGCATTCTACATCTCTGAGCTACATGAGTGTCTCTCCCTGTCCCTCTCCCTTCTCCCCAATCTCAACCCCCAGGTCTGGAGTTTATCTCTTGAGTTATCAGTCTCTTGAGTGCAATTTCTTTTCTCTGAGATACAAGTCTGGGGTCTGGTATCTCTCTCTGGATAGGAATCCTCTAAGAGCTAATTCTAAGTCTGGGTTTTTTCTGAATCTGGATCTCATCTTTTTCTTTAACTCTAGGTCTCTGATCTTGGTTCCTGAAATCACCATCTGATTCTGGAGTCTAAGATTTCTGTGGCTGTGGAGAACCTTTTTTGAAACTGGACACTCACATTTTGACCTCTGACCCTTCTCTCAATGGGGGATCTGGGGTCTTTTTTTTTTTTTCTGAGATTGGGGTCTCTTTTCCTCTAGATTTTGGGTTTGTGTCTCTGATTAACCCCCTGTCCCCGGGGTGGGCAGCTAGGTATCTTTCTCTGTGGGTCTGGGGTCTCTCAGTCTCAGGATCTGAGGTCTACATCTTTAGAACAGCACTCTCTCAGTCTGGTGTGTTTTTGAGTCAGGGGTCTCTCTCCCTGGTTCTCCCTGAGTAGGGGTGGGGGCTGCAGAGTCTCTCTCTCCTCCTCCTCCTGCTCTCTCCTCTCTCGCTCGCTCCCCCGCCCCCCTCTCTCCCTCTCTCCCTCTCTCTCTCTCTCCCGGCTGCCGCTGCTGCCGTTGGCTCCTATTCTCCTCCTCCTCCTCCTCTCTCCTCCTCTCTGCTCCTCTCTGCTCCTCTCTCCTCCTCTCTCCTCCTCCTCCTCCTCCACCTCCTCCTCCTTCTCCCCCTCTCTCTCCCCCTCTTTCTCTCTTCTCTTTCTCCCCCGTCCCCCCCGCCCCCTCCCCCCCAGGCCTGATGAGCAGGTCTCGCGCCTCCATCCATCGGGGGAGCATCCCCGCGATGTCCTATGCCCCCTTCAGAGGTACGGTGGGGAGGGGAGGGGGAGGGCCAGTGGGGGGGGCAAGAGGGGGAGGGGCAGGGGCGGGGGGGGGGGGGAGCAGAGCCGGGGCCAGGGAGGGGAGCAGTTGAAATGGAGGGAGAGAGAGGAGGACCGAGAAGGCAGGGATGGGAGCAATGGGGAAGGAGGGATTGGAGGCCAGAGGATAGGGGTAGATAGGGGCCGGAGGGGAAAGGAAACAGGCTATGAAGGGGGCTGAGGGGAACATGATGAAGGGGAAAGAGACTGCCAGAAAGGGTGGGAAGATAGAGGGATAGGGTTGGGGAAGAGCTGCAGAAATAATTTGGAGGTGGGAGCTGAGAGATGAGGAAAATATTAAGGAAATAGAAGGAAGTCTTAGGAGAGGGGCTAGGAGGGGGAAATGAAAACATAGGGGTGAAAAGAGAAGCAAAGAAGATGGGGGGTAGAATACAGTGAAGGGGCTCAGAGAATGGTAGGGGGTTGAAAAAGAGAGGAGGATGGAGGGAGAGAAGAAGGGGCCAGATGGAGAGAGAGGGAGGCAGTGGGGGGTGGGGGGAATGGAGGGTCCAGATGGAGGGAAGAGAGGAGAGGGAATGGTCTGGGGGACGAGAGACCAGGGCAGGGGGAGGGCCAAATTATGTGTGTGTTTATTGAGGGGGGAGGGGGCAATAGAAGTAAGATTGAGTGATGGAAGTAGAGGGCAGGTTAGGACCCTGCCCCAGACTCTGACCCTCCTTAAGGCCTTTGACCAGTGAAATGTAACCCCAGGGGTCCTATCCGCCTCTTCACTTCACCACTTTTTACCCCCCTCCCCCACCTCCAATCCCTATTACCATTCCCCCTCCCTCCTCTGGTGTCCATCACCTATATCTTTCCCCCCATATGGTGTCCGTTCCTTATATGAGTCCCCCTTCTGTCCTTCCCTTATATCAGTCCTTTGTCTGGTCCATTCTTTCTCCCTCTCTTCTATCTGGTAGCTCCCTTATATCTCTGCCACCTCTTCACCTGTCCTTCATGACCCCCTTGTCTTAGTAACCTATTAGGTGCACCTCATTTCCTCTGCCCCGTGTCCACTTGGGCTCTTCTGGTATATTCCCTTGTCTCTAGGGATTTACTCTCATTTCTGCCTTCTTTTCTCTTGATCCATCCCTATGATTTGTCCCCCAGCCCATTCTATCTCTACCCCATTCCCCGGCTTGTCACTCCAAGTCTGTGCCTACCCACTTTCCCCTAATACCTCAGCTCTTACCACCCATTCCTCTTTTCTTGTCTCCTCTACTTCCTGGGCTGTTGGAGATGTGGGTGCAAAGATGCAGGTTTTGATGGTTGGAACAGGACCTAGAAGACATCCCCATCTGAGCCCTGTGGGACTTCGTATCCTAGTAAATTTTTCCCTTTTCTCAGCTGTGTTAGTCTGTCTCTTGCATCTGCCTCCCAGAATCATCCTTACTTAAGTCTAGACAATATGTGTGTGTGGAGTGTGTGTTTCCAGAGCTGCTTCTAAGCTAAGTTCCCTGCAGCCTTCCCTGCTCCCAGGAGGAAGGTGTCCCCTGAACTCTAACCTGCCTCCTTGGGGCTGCAGCCTGAACCAACCCTTCCCAGAATGATTAGATGTATCAACAGATTTCTCCTCTGGAAGTCCTCAGAGTCTGAATGCAGTGGGCATGTTGCCTGCAGCGTGTGCAGTCTCAGAGCCTAGGGACTGGTGATCTCTGTATCTAGAGGGTATCGGACAGAATCTCTGAGATGGCATTGCAATAGTGAGTCTCAAAGTATTGGGGTTTCTAACTATCTGTATTCTAGGGGTTCATCTCTGACTCTGATCTGCAGGTTGGATAAATCTGAAGAATATTTTTGTAGACAGAAAGGGGTAGATTTTTCAAAATTTCCTACTCAGGGTATTCAGTTAGAATGAAGCTTAACGACCAGTTCTTTTCCTGCACTATACCAGTGATTATTTTGTAAAGGTGACAGAATTTGATTTTGCTTCCTCTAAATTGTTTCTCACTGTGATACCTTAAACCTATTTTCTATCACTTTGATGTCACCAATTTGATTTCTTTCTTACTTCCATAGTGCCTGGTTCCCTGTGTCCCTTTGATGGTGTGTGGCATTGGGATTTAAAGGAGAGACAGTTTACAGGGATAGGGGTGAGGGAAGAATAGCTAAGTTGGGTAAGATGCCCCTGGGGGCATCTCCAAGCATGGGCAACGCTTGGTCTACTGTTTGTCCCCATCCCCAGCTTGAGCTTTTGGAGGCCCCCCTCTCTGTCCCAGGCCTGGATCTTCCATTCTTCCTTCCCCTCTTTCTTCCTCAAGCTCTTCACTGTACCTTGGAGAGGTTTCTCACCTGTGGAGTCGGCTTTCATCCTATCCATGGAGACTAGGTGAAGAGAGGGGGCAGTATCGAATCTTTGATCTCTGGGCATGGAGCGGGAGAAGAGATCAGTTCAGTCTCTGTTATTCAAACAAAGGCATGTTTCCTACCTCCTCACTCTCCAGCCCTTCCCATAGCCAGGTGTTGACATATCCTCCCCCTACCACCAGAAGAACCAGAACTTTCCCCAGAGTTGAGCAGGGTTGGGCTAGAGGAGGAGGGAGCTCAGAATAGAGGAGAGGCAGAAGGAGAGGCCCTCTCCTGTCTCTGACTTTGTGAACAGGTAAGCTCCCTCATGTCTTCTCTTTTCCAGATGTTTAGCTCTCAGCATTTCATGCTCAAATGTTCCTATACCCCTGGCCCCATCCTTCTTTCCCACAGCTGTGTAGCTTATCCTCTCACTCACTTCCCTCCAAGTGCTTGACTTCTGCAGTTATTTGGATGTCCTCCCTCTTCCC